AGTCGTCAATGTTTGTGTTTTGATGAGCTTACACGGAGCTTTTGAACATGGGTATCAAACGTTGATTATTAACGATTGTATAGCCGACAAAACTAAAGAAAGTCAAGAACATTTCCTCAACACTTTTGGCTTTATGTTCAAAACGACTTTTTCAAATCGATTATTGCAAGACTTAGATCGAATACTAGCATTGATTTGAGTAGTATCTTTTTCCAACAAGCACAAACAATATAGAACCACAATCAAAGTCTCAGTAGAGGCATTGATCACACATTATAGTATAAATGATAGTTTCAATTGTTTCTTCTATTTTTTTTATGAAAAGATACTTTTATGTGATCCTTTATAAGAACATGGGGCTCAAATAACAACATAAAACATAGGAAAAAAAGCTACCATAAAGTTTATTACATTTCCTTGAAAATCTCAGATTGTTTTTCATTGTTTTTCGAAAAAAAACATCAACAAGGTAAGCCAATTTGAGGGTGTGGGGGTGAGCGTGAGTATGGGTCTAGGTCTGTGTATACGAGGGTTAAACAAAGAACCTTACTCTCATCCATTACCAACCACTCTCAAGAAGAAAAAAATGTGTGCATATCTACAGTACATATACATACCTGTATTCTGAAATCAAGATAGTAATGTGGACAAAGTCAAGGTGCTTGCTGCACGTTGCTTTATCAATAAAGTAAGAGATAAAAGGACGATGTTCTCTTACCCAGCTACATTAATTCTTGTATTCTACTCATAATAGAGTATGATAACCTCAACGTTGGTATACCTAATATTTTTCATTGAAGTTTCTTATGAGCTGAACAATGGATTGGGTAGAACACCTCAAATGGGTAAGATACTAAATTTTTATGCATCTGTTTTCATGATTGATTTATTCAAGGATGGAACAGTTGGAATCATTTTAAACATAATATTAGTGAAAAAATAGTTCAACAAACTACAGATGCTATGGTAGCCACAGGTCTTTCAGCTGCTGGATATCAATATGGTTTGTTCTTTTCTTATTTGTATATATAAAGTATTTTCCATTGTCGATAGTGAATCTGGATGATTGTTGGCAATTGACCCGAGACAGTCAAGGTATTATTCATCCTGATCCTCAAGCTTTTCCAAGCGGAATATCAGCTCTCGCTGATTATGTTCATTCAAGAAAACTTAAATTTGGTCTTTATTCAGGTAAGATAATTACATGTATTCTTTATATTAAGTTATTTATTCCTAAATACGTCAGATGCTGGATTTAAGACATGTGCTAAACGACCTGGTTCACTTGGTTATGAAAAAATAGATGCTAAGACATATGCATCATGGAATGTTGATTATTTGAAATATGACAATTGTAATACAGATGGAACTATTCCTGAAGTTCGATATCCAGTCATGCGAGATGCTTTAAATGCTAGTGGACGACCTATCTTCTTTTCTATGTGTGGTATGTTCATTATTGAGAAATTGTTCTCTGTTTATTGTCCCATCTCATTAGTATAGAATGGGGTGTTGATACACCTGCATTGTGGGCAGCTAATGTTGGAAATAGTTGGCGAACCACAGGTGATATTAGAGATAATTGGGATTATATGATGTTTAATATTGATATTGTAAGATAATATTGATCTTTTTTACACGAGAATATTTTTTCCATTTTTAGAACAATAATTTTGCTGACAAAGCTGGACCTGGTGGATGGAATGATCCTGATAGTAAGTAAAGATTTCATATTCTATAATTAACATCATTCGATTTGTACCTATTTAGTGCTTGAAATCGGAAATGGTGGTATGACTGATGCTGAATATGTTACACATTTTTCTCTTTGGGCCATTAGCAAAGCACCCTTACTTATTGGATGTGATGTAACTAATATGAGTGCAGCTACTTTATCTACTTTAACTAATCCTGAAGTAATTGCTGTTAATCAAGATCCATTAGGTGTACAAGGAAAAAAAGTTGCTTTTGCATCATCACGATTTCTCAATATATCAACCGAGGTTGTTGTTGCAAATTGTTCAACATCATCAAAAATAGAACCAAAACGTCTACAATGGACATACAATCCTCAAGATGGAACAATTCGATCAGCACTCAATAGACGATGTTTATCTATTAATAATTGTAGTACAGCTGAAGGAGCTACTATTGTATTAAGTGAGTGTCATATTAATGATTCACAAACACAATGTCAAGGAAAAAATCAACAATGGACAGTTGAAACAACTGATCAAACTATTATTTCACAAATGAATGGAAAGTGGTAAGTTCTTTGATATTAAGACATAAATACCTGAAATTGAAATTCACTAGTTTGAATGACAATCTTCAGCATGGACCAAATATTGATGCACATACATGTGATAAACAGGATTATCAACAGTGGTTATGGAATGTTACAGATGGAACAGTACGAACTAAACATGATGGCCAATGTTTAACTATTTTACAAGAACTTGAAGTTTGGGCTGGTCCACTTTCAGATCATTCGCAAGTTGTTGTTTTACTTAATCGAGGCAATAGTGGAAGTGAAACAATCACTGTCAAATGGACAGATATTGGATTTTCAAATGATCAAGCAGCAATTGTTCGTGATTTATGGGCTCGAAAAGATCTCGGAATATTTACAGGCAGTTTTACATCACCAAATATTAATTATCATTCAGTGATCATGTTGAAAATTACTCCAACGCGCAATAAATAATAAAAACATACAGTTTATAAATATGTCTTAGCAAATGATTGAGTAAAACATTTTATATTCCATTTTATGTACTTTCCATAAAATATTTTATCGCTTAAATCAAATAAAATATATAATAAAATAAGGTATCAATACATTGTTGTGGCATATATTCATAATTTAGAATCGTTAGATAGACATTTGTGAAAAGCTGAATTATTATATGCAAACATTTTTGTTTTACTATTTTGAAAAAATCCGATTCATAGTTATGGATTACCTTCTTAAATTCGAATATAGATGAATGAATATAGGATTAGAAATAATTTTAACTAATTTTTTAAATCATTATTTCTCTACGCCAAGTTTTTTCCATTAATATGTAAAACAAATTATCATTCCAAAACTAATCATTGTCCAATATTTTATGTAATAAAAATTGATTCTATCAACTGTAAGTATAAACTGAAATAAGTTTTATCCAATTTTATGCATAAAAAGATGCCTACAAAAACTCAAATAATCAGCTATCGAAAGGAAAAAATGTCAAAAAAGTATAGAAAAGAAAAATAGTTGAAAAATGAAGTTCAAGCCGAAAGCATGTCTAAATGAAAAATAATCGAAATAGGAATGTCTCCAGTAAATCATGGCTCTAAACACGATTAATATAATGCATTTTTATTTTCCTATAATTCTACTAGTCCAGATTTTTTACCACTAATTAGTAATAGTGTGGGTGTGGATGTGGGGTGGGTGTCGGTGTGAGTATTGACGTGAGCTTAAATAGCAGACATTTTAACGACACCCACACCCATACCCACTGACACCCACTGACACCCACACCCACACCCTCAAGTTGGTTCAGTCAATCTATTTATTAGGAACCCTCTTATTTTTTTTATTTATATATCGAAAGCTGTTTTTGAGTGAAATGCAACCGTTATTTAAATTCTTCTCGAAAACACTTCAATTTCACTAAAAAAAGAAGAGGACTTTGTATTAAATAGATTCACTAAACCAATTTGCGGTCTATGATAATTTACATTAATCTTAGATCTGCAAGACTGAGGATCAGTAGATTCGTACCCTGATTCTATCGATATACCACCAGTCGTTTGGCAACTACCGGCAAAACCGCCGGTAGAGCGAGCATTGTACCGAACGGTCTACCGACGGTGTACCGCTGGTTTTTTGCCGGTTCGAATCACATGGGTATAATGAAAACTTCATTTTGAAACTTATAAATTGATCTGTAATCAATTTGAGTGCCATCACGTTTGAAGCATACAAAACAAGCGAATCACTGTATGCTAAGACTTTCGAACATTCGGTTACTCGATATACAGTCCTTTTTCTTATTGTTTTCAAAATTCGAATTGAATGAAGATCTAAAGTAGATATCATTGAAGTATATGTTGTTACAGAAAAAATTAAGGAATTTCCTTTCCTATTTTTCAGAAAGATGTCTATAAATCAATTTATTGATGAATGCTTGTTTTATGTCAATTAACATTCAAAATATAGTTAGAAACATTGCAATGTAATTGTAATCAAAAAATCTATTGTTTGTTTTTTTTTTATGTTGAAAAGTTCGTCGATATCATTCGCGGCATGTATTAGGACGAATAGTCAAATCAGGACAAAGACATTGAATATTTTCTGTACCATAGACACATTGACCCGGTGAACAATCAATTTCACATGGAGCTTATAAAAATAAGAAAAAAACATAAGTATAGTTTAACTTTAATTAGTAAAAAATAAATGCATACGTGCATTGAAATCTTCACACCGAGCTCCCGTATATTCCGGTGGACATATACATTGAGTTCCATTATCTGTTTTCAAACAAGAACCACCATGCAAACATTTCTCCACAAAGCATGTGCCTAGAACAATGCAATTGCATTCTTATATTAGAATTTATTTCAATTCAATATTTATATTCTATTTCAAATTATTGTTTGATTATTCCTAAATATTAGAATCGATAATCTTATTATATTAAAATAAATGCACGAAAATTTGAATGGAACTCAATAAAATAATACAAACTATGTATTATTCGTACCATATAAATTTAGTTCACAACGTGTACCAATATAATCAGACGAACAAGAACAGATGAAGCCTGGTGATTTTTCGATATTTGTACAACTATATGAAAAAGAAAACAAACAACAACTTCAACTTGATAGCATCAATTTGAACGTACTGTCCATAATTCAAGCAAGGTTTTTCTTTGTTACAAATATCTACGTAAGAGCAGATGATAGAAAAATAAGATATTCACCTATTCATATTACCTTCAAAGACCGTTTCACAATATTTTCCAGTGAAGCCCGGTTTACATCTGCAGTATACTCCATCAGGCATGTGGAAACATCTGGATACATCAAATAGAAAAGATATTTCTTTCGTTTTAAACAAAATCATACTAACTCGGCTTCATTTTGGCAAGGATTGGACAAGCAAGGATCAGCTAGATTCAAAGAAAAATGATAACAATAAAGGATGTCAAAGTCGATTCAATATGTTTGGCGTTTAGTTTAGAGGTTCAAAATCTAACAATAGTTGTAACAAAAACAAGATGGAATAGCATAGTGTGAATGTAGGTACTCGCATTCCACCCACTCATACTATCGATTGATCATTTATTCATCTACTAAATGTGAATAGAATTCCACAAATAATAACCGTATGTTTCTTCTACATGGGATACTATAAACATTTTTTCGTTAGTTTTTTAGATAAATATTCAAAAGGTTAGTTCTAGTCTAGTTTTCCAAGATATCAAGTATCAGCAATCATGTACTTATAGATTCGATTAAACTAGATCTTCAAAGTGTTTTTTGAGATTGCCTTTAATAAAGAAGACAATGTGACTTGGTACCATTGAATTTAATTCCATGTAATTCATATTTTAATATTGAGTATCAAACGAATTTAGATCTGAAGATTATATTGAATTTGAATATGATGCAATATGATTTATACTTAAAATTTCTTTGTAACTCAGACTGTCTGTAGTCTCCCATTTTCATAATGAAAACTAAAACCTCACAGGCTGGTCTCGTATTAACCTATTGGACTTTTTTAAAAAGATGTATTAGACAGTTATTAAAAGGCTAACTTCCATTTATTAGATTATTATGAAATGGAGTTAGTTAAAAGTAGGTTTTGTAAAGTAAATCAGCATGATGCGTTGGTCTATTCGATTGTTTCAATAAAACTTCGACATTCATGAAACACTTTGTAAGGATTCAATCTTCAATTACTCTATTATATTTTTATCGTTATGATAAAACTATATCCTATCACTACCGATATTGCAGGATATACAAGATAAAACTATTAAGAGAAACCATTGTGCATGTTATAACTACTCACGAATAGAAGTTTCACAATGTTTTCCAGTGAAATATGGTTGACATGTACATGAAATACCCAGAGTATAATCTGCCGTACAATAGCCATACTCGCTACAATAATTGGGTGGACATATAGTTGATAATTCTATTTTGAAAATAAGCATACATTTGTGAGCTAATGGAAAGAGAAACAAAAGAAAATCACTTACCGCATACTCTGCCAACAAAGTTTAACGGACAAGAGCAAGCGAATTCATTGTTGACAAGTAGCTGACATGTTCCATTGTTTTGGCATGGATTTGAATCGCAAGCAGCTTACAATAAATCAAGAGTTATTCAAATAGTAAATAATATATCAAAATGAATTAAAGCTATTTACGAGGTTCAACGATAATAGGTCCTGGAACTTGCTGTTCACACAGGGATCCATTGTAACCGGGCGAACAATGACAAAAGAAACGATTATTTTCGAGAAGAACACAAGTACCATGATTGCAAAGATCTGGTATTTCGAAACATGGATGAAGAACTACAATGAGCATGAAAAAACGTTTAAACTATTCATGGAAATCAATTAAACAACTATCTATTCGAAAATACAAGATCATCGATTGCTTCTTCTTAGTGGATATTTTAAAAATGAAATCTTACAAGTATTTCTCATTAGATCTATGCAAATAAAACATTTCGAGTTTGTTCTATTTAAATCTTAGAATGATGTCTCTGAGACTTCTAAGTTCGATTACAAAATCCAAGTAATGAATTTTAGAAAAAGCAAATGAGAATTACTCGCTTGCATAGATCGAGAATAAACAATTTTCTCTATCGCATGGTAACATCATCATATGTTGTATGATCATGACCTTCTCAGAAATAAACTTTTTAGCGCAGCTCCAAAGGAGTTAAAATGTGGAACTCACGTATATTTTTTCAATTTTTTATTCTGATACCTTATTTTTAAATTGTAAAATACCTTTTTTCGAATACCTATGAAATCATTGATATATTACATAAAAACTCGAGCCTCTTTTGCGCAGTTGCTGAGATCTATGACGATGACCTGCCTGTAACGGGGGATATGTCTGTAATATGGGGTATGTCTGTAATGTTCTCTTTCTCATTAATATGTGTCTGTAATGGAGTGGGGTGGAGATTGCGAAATCTCGACTCAAAACTTACACTCACTGTTTTCTTCGAAAACATACGTGAGTTCTACAAAAGCAAATTTACATGTAATCGAATCGACTTTTGCGTGTGACGAGTTGGAAATATTATAAAAGAACAAATCGATTGTTTTGATCATGAGCAAAATAAAAATATAATCATATTTTAAATAAAATTTAGTCTTATAGATAAATGTTCTACAAATGGTTTTGCTTGCTTATTTAATATTTGTTTTTTAATATTAATATAAATAGCCAACGTAGATAATCAGTATAAGTATATAGAAATCGAAAAATTCAATAAAGCCTTACTTTCACAATATTTTCCTGAAGCACCGTATGGACATTTACATATAAATGTCGTCAAATAAATCGTTTCACAAATACCACCGTTTTTACATGGATTCGAGCTACAACCAATATTTTCATCTCCGGGAATCCCTATCAAATATTAAAAGAAATAATAATAACGATTGAACATAGGTAA